GTGTTTGACTCTCTGTGTGTAGAATCTTCATTCTCCATAGAGACATTGGACGCAGAGTTCCAGTCCCTTAAAATCCCTCAAATCCCACTCATGTTCAGTAGAGAAGAACATCCATAGGCTGCAGCAGATGGACCACTTCCTATAGGTAACATATACATGGAGCTGATGCAGCAGATGGACCACTTCCTACAGGTAACATATACATGGAGCTGATGCAGCAGATGGACCACTTCCTACAGGTAACATATACATGGAGCTGATGCAGCAGATGGACCACTTCCTACAGGTAACATCTATAGACATGGAGCTGCTGCAGCAGATGGACAACTTCCTACAGGTAACCACTTCCTCCCCTCTCTCCTTCATTACTTTCTCAAGCACGCAGAGAGAGGTGTCAACAGTTTAATGAAATATGTTTTGTTGTGGAAACATGTTACTTTCCATGTTCCCGAACATATTTTACTTGGTTTCCCAAATGAAGCACTTGGTAGCTGCAAGAACAGGGTTGGGGAGCCCATGGCATACAGAGTTTGGGCGGAATATCACCTGTCGGGCAGCGAGAGGCTGCATGTTCCTCAAACAGTGGTTGATGCCTGGAGTGAAATAACTGGAGTAGCCTGAACGAACAGGCCAGAAACCGGCCTCCATTCACTATTCGAGTGCGTAGGCAGATGACATGTATTTTTTCCTCCTGCCCCTGTTCCTGCCCATTTGATAATGGGCCATTCTAAATCAAAACTAATTTAACATATTAGTAAAGACAATATTACATTGAGAATAGTCTGATTGGTGATAATATGATCCCTTGATGAGAGAACAGCGTGTGCAGCCTGAGGCAAAGAACAGAGCTCAAGCTTGCATCGTGCAGCCCGTATATGTTTTGATTTCTAAGACATTCTAAGGTTTGTATCATTAACAACTAAAGTTGCCAAATAACTCTAAATCTAGTATATAGGACCTGTTTCAAATGATCACATTTACGCTCAACATAGCCTTCAAATTAGCACTTGCTCCAGAATGGGAAAAAAATATCCTTTCTATTTTATTCAGCTAAGTTCAATTATATTCTTCTTACTATAAAATCATATAATATAAAATAATGGCATGGGACTTATAAGCATATCTTGTCAGCTAAATGAACAAGCCTCCAGCCTATGGCTTGGAGCACAGACAGATAACATATAGTAGGCCAACTCATATTCTGTTCATCTGAAATACATTTTCTTCATATCATAATGTTTCTTTAGACCTGACTAAAATAAATAATGGATTTATTGTTATGGTGTATATTAAATTGATTAGACTTTTTTTTTTATGTAGATGTCCCAAAGGCAAGCATAAGCTGCTTGGAGGCCAGGAGAGGCTAAACGTGTTTATGTTAATGAATGGTCAATTACTGTGAGACCGGCAGGTTTTTGCATGACAATCACGGGCTGACAAAATGTCACGACTGCCACAGCCCTATTGATTCCATTCCATTTACTCCATTCCATTCATTATTATGAGCAGTCCTCCCCTCACCAGCCTCCTCTGACTTCCTCCCAAACGCGCGAAGAGCGTGGTGGGCCAAACTCTTTGACCTTCGTTAGCCAATACAGAGTGCCGGGAGAATCTCCTGGCGCATAGATCTGAGGAGATGAACGACACAAAGGCCATTCTGATTAGACATCTCTTTCGCTCTCTCTCTCTCTCTCTCTCTCTCTCTCTCAAAATGGCAGAGACTCTGCAAACTGCAATCTATGCTCCCACATAGTTTATTGGTGATGTTTCGACCACTTAGGTCTACATCAGCTCTCTCTGAAGGGCATCTATTTCTTCATACAGAGAGTCGTTAACCTTAGGAAAGGGAGGTTTGATTATAATAACTAATACTTATTCTCTGTTACCTCATGCATGGGGTGGTACTTGGTGTAATCATAGCGCCATGGGGTCGCAGTCCCTTCATGCTCAACGCTGTAGTACAAGACATCATTTATTACAATCGTAAGATGACTGAAAGAGAGCTTAAAAGGCTGACATAACAATAATAAAACTGCTTGATCACAGGGCAAAGAGCAAGTAGCTAGCAGGATATAAACTGACACAGTTAATATAAGATCCTGTTGCAGTGTATATGTTACATACAGATTAACTCACCTTTCTGTGGAACCATTACTTCCCTGTAGTAACAGAAATAATCCCAGTGTCTTTAACATTGTTCTGCCTCTTCTATACTGATCTGGCAGCAACACTGCCTGAGCTTCCTGAACCAAAGTGTCCGCTGTGTCACCTGAGCAATTAAGCAAAACTAGAAAAGTGTTGCCTACAGTGTCTGCCCGCAATTGAATTGTATGGATGCCCATCCAGGTGGTAGGCCTACCATTTGTTGCATTGGCTTTATTGGTCCTGATTCCTGTGACTAATCATTTTGGCTCGTTAAGCTCTGAATATCAGCTGCCCAACATTATCAGGAGTTGGGACATTCCACGAAAATAGGGCCTTTTGCGTCCCTTTGATAATTTAAGTAGAAATTGTGCACCAATATTGAATTTTAAAAGCCTTTTATATTAAATGAACTGTCCTTTAATATAGACTACATGTAGAATAAATAAATAAAAATCTTCAAAATGCAGAGGCAGAAATTGCTGTGTGGCAGGGCATAAGTAAAAGTGTCTGGGCCAACATTTTCCAGCAAAAATACCCCAACAAAAATATCCAGACACATTGGGAGTTCCTGACCTCCCCCCGCTTTCAGACGCAGTTGCCGAATAAACATGGTTAATTCAGCATCCTCAACAGCGATACGATATGGTAGTGATCACATGGGGCCAGCAGTGATTATTTCAGTGCAAAAGACCTAGACCCTGGCAGGCAGGCATCTGCTGCTCTCATTATGAAGGGGATCACAACGAAGCCCCTGTGCTAAAGTGCCCTAAAATGTCCCTGTGTCACTTCTAGCAACATTTCAACCCACTTAATCCCAAAATATAATTTAAGTCTGTCCCTCATTTTAAGGTCAACCCTGTTACCTGAACTGATTTTAATATGGTGAAACTACAGTGGGGGAAAAAAGTATTTAGTCAGCCACCAATTGTGCAAGTTCTCCCACTTAAAAAAGATGAGAGAGGCCTGTAATTTTCATCATGTGGTATTCTAAAATTGATTAAATTGTTTTTTTCTTCTCATCAATCGACACAGAATACCACATAATGACAAAGCAAAAACCGGTTTTTAGAAATGTTCGCAAATTTATTAAAATATATATATATATATATCACATTTACATACAGTGGGGAAAAAAAGTATTTAGTCAGCCACCAATTGTGCAAGTTCTCCCACTTAAAAAGATGGCTGTCGCTGGGCAACACGGACTTTCAACTCCCTCCAAAGATTTTCTATGGGGTTGAGATCTGGAGACTGGCTAGGCCACTCCAGGACCTTGAAATGCTTCTTACGAAGCCACTCCTTCGTTGCCCGGGCGGTGTGTTTGGGATCATTGTCATGCTGAAAGACCCAGCCACGTTTCATCTTCAATGCCCTTGCTGATGGAAGGAGGTTTTCACTCAAAATCTCATGATACATGGCCCCATTCATTCTTTCCTTTACACGGATCAGTCGTCCTGGTCCATTTGCAGAAAAACAGCCCCAAAGCATGATGTTTCCACCCCCATGCTTCACAGTAGGTATGGTGTTCTTTGGATGCAACTCAGCATTCTTTGTCCTCCAAACACAACGAGTTGAGTTTTTACCAAAAAGTTATATTTTGGTTTCATCTGACCATATGACATTCTCCCAATCCTCTTCTGGATCATCCAAATGCACTCTAGCAAACTTCAGACTGGCCTGGACATGTACTGGCTTAAGCAGGGGGACACGTCTGGCACTGCAGGATTTGAGTCCCTGGTGGCGTAGTGTGTTACTGATGGTAGGCTTTGTTACTTTGGTCCCAGCTCTCTGCAGGTCATTCACTAGGTCCCCCCGTGTGGTTCTGGGATTTTTGCTCACCGTTCTTGTGATCATTTTGACCCCACGGGGTGAGATCTTGCGTGGAGCCCCAGATCGAGGGAGATTATCAGTGGTCTTGTATGTCTTCCATTTCCTAATAATTGCTCCCACAGTTGATTTCTTCAAACCAAGCTGCTTACCTATTGCAGATTCAGTCTTCCCAGCCTGGTGCAGGTCTACAATTTTGTTTCTGGTGTCCTTTGACAGCTCTTTGGTCTTGGCCATAGTGGAGTTTGGAGTGTGACTGTTTGAGGTTGTGGACAGGTGTCTTTTATACTGATAACAAGTTCAAACAGTTGCCATTAATACAGGGAACGAGTGGAGGACAGAGGAGCCTCTTAAAGAAGAAGATACAGGTCTGTGAGATACAGAAATCTTGCTTGTTTGTAGGTGACCAAATACTTATTTTCCACCATAATTTGCAAATAAATTCATTCAAAATCCTACAATGTGATTTTCTGGAATTTTTTTTCCTCAATTTGTCTGTCATAGTTGACGTGTACCTATGATGAAAATTACAGGCCTCTCTCATCTTTTTAAGTGGGAGAACTTGCACAATTGGTGGCTGACTAAATACTTTTTTCCCCCCACTGTAGTCTATATTAAAGGACAGTTCATTTAATATAAAAGGATTTTAAAATTCAATATTGGTGCACAATTTCTACTTAAATTATCAAAGGGACGCAAAAAGCCCTCTTTTCGTGGAATGTCCCAACTCCTGATAATGTTGGGCAGCTGATATTCAGAGCTTAACGAGCCAAAATGATTAGTCACAGGAATCAGGACCAATAAAGCCAATGCAACAAACGGTAGGCTTACCATCTGGATGGGCATCCATACAATTCAATTGCGGGCAGACACTGTAGGCAACACTTTTCTAGTTTTGTTTAATTGCTCAGGTGACACAGCGGACACTTTGGTTCAGGAAGCTCAGGCAGTGTTGCTGCCAGATCAGTATAGAAGAGGCAGAACAATGTTAAAGACACTGGGATTATTTCTGTTACTACAGGGAAGTAATGGTTCCACAGAAAGGTGAGTTAATCTGTATGTAACATATACACTGCAACAGGAACTTATATTAACTGTGTCAGTTTATATCCTGCTAGCTACTTGCTCTTTGCCCTGTGATCAAGCAGTTTTACTATTGTTATGTCAGCCTTTTAAGCTCTCTTTCAGTCATCTTACGATTGTAATAAATGATGTCTTGTACTACAGCGTTGAGCATGAAGGGACTGCGACCCCATGGCGCTATGATTACACCAAGTACCACCCCATGCATGAGGTAACAGAGAATAAGTATTAGTTATTATAATCAAACCTCCCTTTCCTAAGGTTAACGACTCCCTGTATGAAGAAATAGATGCCCTTCAGAGAGAGCTGATGTAGACCTAAGTGGTCGAAACATCACCAATAAACTATGTGGGAGTATAGATTGCAGTTTGTAGAGTCTCTGCCATTTTGAGAGCGAGAGAGAGAGAGAGAGAGAGAGAGAGAGAGAGCGAAAGAGATGTCTAATCAGAATGGCCTTTGTGTCGTTCATCTCCTCAGATCTACCAGTGGATGGGTCAGTTGGTGACAGAGAACCCAGGAGTAGTGTCCTCCTCAGTCTACGGACTGACCTATGAGGGCAGGAACATCACATTCCTCAAGGTACCTCTACCCCACACTGCCATCACAAATGTAGGCCTGCTTCTAGATCAGGGGTCTCCAACAGGTGGATTGCGAGATACCAGAGTAGCTCGCCAAACAATTCTGAAAGTACCTGCAATTTTCACGTCTTCCACCACAAACTGTCATAAACAAATCTCACAAGACACCGCAAACTCCCAACTACTATCTAATCGACGCAACGTTGACATTATCCCACCCCTGGTTAGCCACTATTGGCTTAAAAAAAGCCAACCCTAACACAATACCTGCCAATTAATTTCCAGAAATATTGCCCCTGTCTGCCTGTCTGCTGCGGGCTTTTCTTTCTAACTCCGTGTGTCGCCCAGTTCATGTCATTACCGTCTTGTGGGGTTGACAGAAATACTTTCCCCAAAACCTTCTCAATTAAATGTTAACTGCAAAGCAGGCTTACGTGGCAGAAGTATATCATGAGTAAGTATATCATTTGTATCTATTATTTGTGATTTGCAAACTTTGCCATATAATGAGCAGCAGCAGTAGAGAAATATCACTGGACCGACACGTTCTTCACTCACTAGTTTAATTAAAGGGCCAGATGCGCAATTTAAATTGGAAATTCACTCAAAAGTCTATTTGTTAGTTTCCTTCCACACCTAAACAAAAATGCTTTTCTGATGTGATTTAACCATTGGCATGAACTCAGAACATCCAATTTCGTTGTTTGTCTATGAACAATTGTAGTTTTGAGTGAAAAACTAAGATTTTGGGGGAAATATCACAGATTTTATAGGACCCCACTTAGGGTAGTTGATTAACCATTATTTTACCAGGTATATTGACAGAACACATAGCGTACTACTTTCTTTTGTCCACTAAGGACCTGGGGAAGATCTGCAGGGGAGAAGAGAAGAATGTGTCTATTTGAAAGCTAGAAATAAATGAGAAGCTCACGTCGTGTCAATTTTTTTATTTTATGTATGAAAAGGTTGGAGACCAATGATCAGTATACGGTGTCTCCGTCTAGCAGGATAACACTAACTCACATTGCAAGTTATTTGCCGACCCATGCCTGTGACTGTTTCGCGAAACACTTTTCCCACGACTAAAGGTATACCCGCAATTTTTAGACACTTCTGATTAAGAAGTCGTCATTTGCGTCGCAGACCGGTGCCCAGTAAATACTACCACCCCCTTCCAAATCAAAACCTGAGTTCCTAAAAAAGAAAGCCAGTCACGTCACGGACAACAAAGCCTGCGCGATCGGACGAGCTAAACACCTATTTATCTTCGCTTCGAGAGTAAAACAACTCTGAGCTGATTTGTAGCTCTTCTGTTTCATTGCTTCCTGACAGATTGGTCTGCAGCACCTATGGGTTAACATGGAGATGTTCTCTGTTTCATTGCTGGTCTGCAGAACCTACGGGTTAACATGGAGATGTTCTCTGTTTCATTGCTGGTCTGCAGCACCTATGGGTTAACATGGAGATGTTCTCTGTTTCATTGCTGGTCTGCAGCACCTATGGGTTAACATGGAGATGTTCTGTTTCATTGCTGGTCTGCAGCACCTATGGGTTAACATGGAGATGTTCTCTGTTTCATTGCTGGTCTGCAGCACCTATGGGTTAACATGATGTTCTGGTTTCATTCTTGGTCTGCAGCACCTACGGGTAACATGAGATGTTCTCTGTTTCATTGCTGGTCTGCAGCACCTATGGGTTACATGGAGATGTTCTGTTTCATGCTGGTCTGCAGCACCATATGGGTTAACATGGAGATGTTCTCTGTTTCATTGCTGGTCTGCAGCACCTATGGGTTAACATGGAGATGTTCTGTTTCATTGCTGGTCTGCAGCACCTACGGGTTAACATGGAGATGTTCTCTGTTTCATTGTTGCATGACAGATTGGTCTGCAGCACCCAGAGGGGATGATTAAAAAGAGCATCTGGATGGACTGTGGGATCCACGCTAGGGAGTGGATCGCTCCGGCCTTCTGCCAGTGGTTCGTCAAAGAGGTAAGAGACCCTGTACAGGTAGCTTAGTGGTTAGAGGTTGTGCCAGTAACCGAAAGGTGCTGGTTCTAATCCCGTGCGACTAGGTGAAAAATCTGTCGATGTGCCCTTGAGCAAGGCACTTAACCCTAATTGCTCCTGTAAGTTGCTCTGGATAAGAGCGTCTGCTAAATTACCTATTTATTTAACATGATGGATGGAGATGGGAAGGAATATATTCATTTTTCATATTTATTTTAATTAAATTTTTTAGTCATTTAGCAGACGCTCTTATCCAGAGCGACTTACAGGAGCAATTAGGGTTAAGTGCATTGCTCAAGGGCACAACGACAGATTTTTCACCTAGTCGGCACGGGGATTAAAACCAGCAACCTTTCAGTTACTGGTACAACGCTCTTACCCACTAAGCTACCTGCTTACCTATATCTGTTTTATAAACCCTATGAAACGAATAAACACCTCTCTTTTTAACAGATTTTGCAGACATACAAAACAGACATGCAAATCAACCAACTGCTCCAAAACTTGGATTTTTATGTCACTCCTGTGCTGAACATCGATGGCTACGTGTATTCTTGGCTAAATAAAAGTGTGAGTTCAATATACAGTATATCATGTGTAACAGATACTTTAATATATATATATTTATATTATGTGGACATTCCTTCAAATTAGTGGATTCGGCTATTTCAGCCACACCCGTTGCTGACAGGTGTATAAAATCGAGCACACAGCCGTGCGATCTCCATAGACAAACATTGGCAGTAGAATGGCCTTACTGAAGAGCTCAGTGACTTTCAACGTGGCAACGTCATAGGATGCCACCTTTCCAACAAGTCAGTTCGTCAAATGTCTGCCCTGCTAGAGCTGCCCCGGTCAACTGTAAGTGCTGTTATTGTGAAGTGGAAACGTCTAGGAACAACAACGGCTCAGCCACGAAGTGGTAGGCCACACAAGCTCTCAGAACGGGACCGCCGAGTGCTGAAGTGCGTAGGGCGTAAAAATAGTCTGTCCTCGGTTGCAACACTCACTACGGAGTTCCAAACTGCCTCGGGAAGCAACGTCAGCACAAGAACTGTTCGTCGGGAGCTTTAAAAAATGGGTTTCCATGGCCGAGCAGCCGCACACAAGCCTAAGATCACCATGCTCAATGCCAAGCGTCGACTGGAGTGGTGTAAAGCTCGCCGCCATTGGACTCTGGAGCAGTGGAAATGCGTTCTCTGGAGTGATGAATCAAGCTTCACCATCTGGCAGTCCGACGGAAGAATTTGGGTTTGGCGGATGCCAGGAGAACGCTACCTGCCCCAATGCATAGTGCCAACTGTAAAGTTTGGTGGAGGAAGTATAATGGTCTGGGGCTGTTTTTCATCGTTTGGGCTAGGCCCCTTAGTTCCAGTGAAGGGAAATCTTATCGCTACAGCATACAATGACATTCTAGCTGATTCTGTGAACTTTGTGGCAACAGTTTGGGGAAGGCCGTTTCCTGTTTCAGCATAACAATGCCCCTGTGCACAAAGCGAGGTCCATACAGAAATGGTTTGTCGAGATCAGTGTGGAAGAACTTGACTGGCCTGCACAGAGCCCTGACCTCAACCCCGTCGAACACCTTTGGGATGAATTGGAAAACCGACTATGAGCCCGGCCTAATCGCCCAACATCAGTGCCTGACCTCACTAATGCTGTTGTGGCTGAATGGAAGCAAGTCCCCGCAGCAATGTTCCAACATCTAGTGGAAAACATTCCCAGAGGAGTGGTGGCTGTTATAGCAGCAAAGGGGGGGGGACCAACTCCATATTAATGCCCATGGATTTTGGAATGAGATGTTCGACCAGCAGGTGTCCACATACTTTTGGTCATGTAGTGTATCTCTAATCACTACAATACATGGTGGGTTTAAAATGAGTTTGGTGCCTATATTCATGAAACGTCTGAGTGTAGATCTAGGATCAGGCCCCCCCCCCCTGTCCATAGACTATATACTCTTATTCGTTATGGTCTCAAAGGCAAAACTGATCTTAGGCTGAGACTCATTATGAATCCTGATTTTTATTTTATTTTTTATTATTATTATTTATTTTATTTTATTGACTGTGTTGTTCTCCAGACTCGGTTGTGGCGTAAATCCCGGTCTCCTCCCCCAGAAGGCTGTAGCTGTTATGGAGTCGATCTCAACAGGAACTTCAACGTTAACTGGGGCAGTGAGTTATAAGTTCTCCTACATGTTGTTTCAACACAACTCACACTTTGGGAAATGACGCTTGCATCTAATCCTCTGATAAGGTATTCTGAAAATGCATCGGATTATACTGTGATGTAATAATATTCTCTCTTGACAGACTGTTACCATTACATAACAGTTGCCGACCGGAAACACAAGTTCAGAGATTACTGTTATTCATAACACAGAGTCCATGCATGTCCACCTCTTTTTCTCCTAGTGATTGGGGTATCGTTTGACTGCTGCCATGACAACTACTGTGGCACTGGGGCTGTCTCTCAGATGGAGTCCCAGGCAGTGACAGAGTTTGTAGGGAGCAGGACAGATGACATCCTCTGTTACCTGACCATCCACTCCTCTGGACAACTAATACTGCTGCCCTACGGACACCCACAGATACAGGCCACCAACTATGACGAACTGGTGAGGGGTAGGGGCGTGTCTCTGTTTTTTTCCTGGGTTCCTACGGCGTGTCTCAGATGTCCCAGGTTTTTAAGCAATTTAATAGGAATCTCTTTTCATGTAGGTGAAAGTGGGTAAAGCTGCAGCAGAGCTCACGAAGTCAGTTCATGGGATGAACTACAGGATGGGAACCTCGCCTCAAGTCCTGTGTAAGTCAGCCCCACCTAACAGCATACTGTATCATATCCTCTTAAAGCTAACTTCACTCTCTCATTACCCTATAAGTCAGTGTAAAAAATATATATATATTGACCTGGCCAGATCAGCATGCAGATTAGCCTTCCCTCTCCTTTTCAGATCCTAACTCTGGCACTTCCAGAGACTGGGCTCGTCTCATTGGGATCCCGTTCTCCTACACCTTTGAGCTGAGAGACAAGGGTCAGTTTGGACACCTGCTGCCAGAGTACCAGATCCAGCCGGTGTGTGAAGAGGCCTTTGTGGGAGCACTCTCCATCATCACATACGTCCATGATAAGACCTTTTATTAAAGGGACACTGTCTAGCTCTGCTACTGATACCACGGTCCTCTGAAACACAGTGCTAGTGTCCTGGCTCACTGCTGGCTTCATTGTGTAGATCATGGCTCTTCAACAATTAGTCTTCTCCATTCCTCGTGTCCTCTCCTCAGATCCTTCTCAAAATAGTCTGAGGTTCTCTTCTTCTAATCTGTTTCGAGAAGGAGGCTAGGACATAAGGAATCGTGAAGAGACTAATTGACGATGATCCCTGGAGACCGGCCTCTCACCTTTCATCATCCAGAATGAAGCCGTAAAATCGAAATAATGTACAATACCTCAGTTTAGCAGCCAGGGGGCAGTGTTGCTCCACACGGCACACCAGATGTCCTGTCCTTTCATTGGACATCAAACTGTAACACTGGTTTATTTGTGTTGGAGAGGCAACAACATGAGATTATATTTCTGTGTTTAATGTTCCATAAATGCCAAACGGATTAAGTAAATAAAGAGTGGAAGAACATTTCTGTTTATTTCAGGGGTTTTCTTTCTTCTCCTTTGTTATTAACTCAGTTGGTTGGAAGTCATTCAGAGATCAGTCAGTCATTCAGAGATCAGTCAGTCAGTCATTCAGAGACCAGTCATTCAGAGATCAGTCAGTCCGTCAGTCAGTCATTCAGAGATTAGTCAGTCAGTCAGAGATCAGTCAGATCAGTCATTCAGAGATCAGTCAGTCAGTAATTCAGAGATAATTCATTCAGAGATCAGTCAGTCAGTCATTCAGAGATTAGTCAGTCATTCAGAGATCAGTCAGTCAGTCATTCAGAGATCATTCATTCAGAGATCAGTCAGTTAGTCATTCAGAGATTAGTCAGTCATTCAGAGATTAGTCAGTCATTCAGAGATCAGTCAGTCATTCAGAGATCATTCAGTCAGTCAGTCATTCAGAGATCAGTCAGTCAGTCATTGAGATCAGTCAGTCATTCAGAGATCAGTCAGTCAGTCAGTTATTCCGAGATCAGTCATTCAGACATCAGTCAGTCAATTATTCAGAGATCAGTCAGTCATTCAGAGATCAGTCAGTCTGTCAGTCAGTCATTCAGAGACCAGTCAGTCAGTCAGTCAGAGACCAGTCAGTCAGTCATTCAGAGACCAGCCAGTCATTCAGAGATCAGTCAGTCAGTTATTCAGAGATCAGTCATTCAGAGATCAGTCAGTCAGTTATTCAGAGATCAGTCAGTCATTCAGAGATCAGTCATTCAGAGATCAGTCAGTCAGTTATTCAGAGATCAGTCAGTCATTCAGAGATCAGTCAGTCAGTCAGTCAGTCATTCAGAGACCAGTCAGTCAGTCATTCAGAGACCAGTCAGTCAGTCAGTCAGTCAGAGACCAGTCTGTCAGTCATTCAGAGATCAGTCAGTCAGTCAGTCAGAGATCAGTCAGTCAGTCAGTCAGAGATCAGTCAGTCAGTCAGTCAGAGATCAGTCAGTCAGTCAGTCAGAGATCAGTCAGTCAGTCATTCAGAGATCAGTCAGTCAGTCAGTCATTCAGAGACCAGTCAGTCAGTCAGTCAGAGATCAGTCAGTCAGTCATTCAGAGATCAGTCAGTCAGAGATCAGTCAGTCAGTCAGAGATCAGTCAGTCAGTCAGTCAGTCTGTGATGTGGTTACTTATCTCTGGTACTGCTGCTGAAATGTGTGTCTGTGTGTTCAGCCCTGTGGCGCCGGGCCCAGTCAAGTTCTGCTGGGATCAGCACACACACAAACTGCTCCTGATACCTTTATATCTACACCAGCCACATCTGAATCCCTTTAAGTTAAACGCTTGATTACATTAGCCACCATTTAGAGGGGGAATTGATAATGGTCCGACCTTCATGTAAGCTCAGTCTCTTGTCAGTGGACTGGTGTGAAACTCAACTGGGTCCTGTAGTAAAGGAGTTATTGATTGTGGCTATTTTTCCCTGGTCCTTTTTTTCCAAGCCAAGTCAAACTGTGGAATTACATCATCTGTAGATCTGTGAACTGTGGTGATTTCATTTGCAAATGACAAGTGACCATTAACCAGAACAGATGTAAGTTTCTTCTCATGGGAATGAAGATCTAGAGATACCTCGTCTGAGTCACTATACATAGTATATTGATATGATAGCACGATGAAGCAGTGGAATATCCAGTGGCACCCGTCATTCAATTTTTTTGTTTGTTTTTTTTGCCTGTTTTGCATGTTATTTTGGCATTAATACGTGTCACGTATCAGTTTAAGACACTATATGTTGGTGTTTCCTTTATTTTGGCGGTTACCTGTAATTAGACAAGCTGGCTACTCTAACGTTATTGATAGCCTGAAATGGCTTCTTGGTGGCTAATCATCCTGAGCTAGGCCCATCTCCCGGCTATCTACCTCTCTGTCAACCGGACGGGACCACCTAGTGTTGACACGGAGCCCCGCCGATCCTACACGACTGGTCTGCCGACGAAATCGTCTGATGTGGTTACGACGTTAACCACGAAGATTCCATCTGCTAGCCCCGGCCCGCTAGCACACGCTAGCCGTGGCCTCTTACTCGCTAGTGCTTTACCACCGGACCTTATGATAACTCAGCTATACAGCTGATGTCTGCTGGACTGTTCCTTTTTACGGTACTACATCCTGTTTATGTTTAGCCTCAGCCCAAACATGGTTAGTTTATTGTTGTTTCGGTTATTTCTAATTGTACTATTTCACTGTAGACACCCCAGCCTAGCTAAACCTGCCTTAGATAGCTCATTTGTCCCACCCCCTATACACGCAGAGACCGACTCAATTGATGCCTCCAGCGATGCTATCTCTTTCATTGTTACCCAACGCTTAGGTTTACCTCCACTTTACTCATATCCTTCCATATCCTTGTCTGTACATAATGCCCTGAATCTTTTCTATAACACCCGGAAATCTGCCCCCTTTATTCTATGTACCCAACGCACTAGAAGACCAGTTCTTAAAGCCTTTAGCCGTATCCTTATTCTAGTCCTCCTCTGTTCCTCTGGTGATGTAGAGGCTAACCCAGGCCCTGCAGCCCTCAGTATCACTCCTACTCCCCAGGCGCTATCATTTGCTGACTTCTGTAATCGCAAAAGTCTTGGTTTCTTGCACATAAATATCAGAAGTCTACTTCCTAAGTTTGAGTTATTCACTGCGTTAGCACACTCTGCCAACCCTGATGTTCTAGCAGTGTCTGAATCCTGGCTCAGGAAGGCCACCAAAAATTCTGAAATTTCCATCCCCAACTATAACATTTTCCGTCTAGATAGAACTGCCAAAGGGGGTGGAGTTGTAATCTACTGTAGAGATAGCCTGCAGAGCTCTATCATACTATCCAGGTCTGTGCCCAAACAGTTTGAGCTTCTACTTCTAAAAATCCACCTTTCCAGAAATAAGTCTCTCACTGTTGCCGCTTGCTACAGACCCCCCTCAGCCCCCAGCTGTGCCCTGGACACCATATGTGAATTGATTGCCCCCCATTTATCCTCAGAGTTTGTACTGCTTGGTGACCTAAATTGGGATATGCTTAATACCCCAGCCATCCTACAATCCAAGCTAGATGCCCTCAACCTCACGCAAATTATCAACGAACCTACCAGGTACAACCCTAAATCCGTAAACATGGGTACCCTCATAGATATCATCCTGACTAACATACCCTCTAAATACACCTCAGCTGTCTTCAACCAGGATCTCAGCGATCACTGCCTTATTGCCTGCGTCCGTAACGGGTCCGCGGTCAAACGACCACCCCTCATCACTGTCAAACGCTCCCTAAAACACTTTAGCGAGCAGGCCTTCCTAATTGACCTGGCCCAGGTATCCTGGATGGATATAGATCTCATTCCGTCAGTAGAGGATGCCTGGTTGTTCCTTAAAAGTAATTTCCTCTCAATCTTAAATAAACATGCCCCATTCAAAAAATACAGAACTAAGAACCGATATAGCCCCTGGTTCTCCTCAGACTTGACTGCCCTTGACAAGCACAAAAACATCCTGTGGCGTACAGCATTAGCATCAAATAGCCCCCGCGATATGCAACTTTTCAGGGAAGTTAGGAACCAATATACACAAGCAGTTAGGAAAGCAAAGGCTAACTTTTTCAAACAGAAATTTGCATCCTGTAGCACTAACTCCAAAAAGTTTTGGGACACTGTAAAGTCCATGGAGAATAAGAGCACTTCCTCCCAGCTGCCCACTGCACTGAGGCTAGGAAACACTATCACCACCGATAAATCTACAATAATCGAGAATTTCAACAAGCATTTTGCTACAGCTGGCCATGCTTTCCATCTGGCTACCACTACCCCGGCCACCAACTCTGCACCCTCTGCTGCAACTTGCCCATGCCCCCCCCCGCTTCTCCTTCACACAAATTCAGACAGCTGATGTTTTGAAAGCGCTGCAAAATCTGGACCCCTACAAATCAGCTGGGCTAGACAATCTGGACCCTTTCTTTCTAAAACTAGCCGCCGAAATTGTCGCAACCCCTATTACTAGTCTGTTCAACCTCTCTTTCATAACGTCTGAGATCCCCAGAGTGTCACGGTTTCGGCCGAGGCTGCTCCTCCTCCTTGTTCGGGCAGGCTTCGGCGTTCGCCGTCCCCGGAGTATTAGCTGCCACCGCTCTATGTTTCTGTGTTTGATTGCTTTTGTCTGTCTGTCACACCTGTGTCTGTTTGAGTGTTGATTATGTGTCTTATAAGTTCCTTGTTTTGCTCTATGGTAATTGTGTGTTGTTATTTTTCCGTTGCCTCTTGTATGTTTGATACGTGTTTGTTTTCCGTATCATTTTTCTATGTTTAGTGTTTTACGCGTGTGCGTAATTTTCCCTCGCCTCTTCGTGTTATTCGAGGTCGGGGTGTACACTATTGCTTTTGAGACTATTAAAAGTCTTGTTGGACTAAACCTCTGCTTCCTGCGCTTGACTCCTCCACCACATCCACGACGGTTTTATGACAGAACAACACACCATTATGGAGTCAGCAGGATCAGCGACGGCACCCGAA